ACCAAACAAAGTAATGAAGAGAAAGGAAAACAAAATAAAACAAAACAAAGCAAAACAAACAAACAAAAAAAAAGCAAAGCCAGGTGGCCGTGCTAAAAATTTGTAGCTTGAGGCCAGGCCCAGCTCCAGAGTTCCTGATTCCATACATCTGAGGTTGACCCAAAAATTAGCGTGGCTGTCATTCAGGAGATGCAGCCGTATCATCCACTGTAAGACTTGAGACTGAATGCGCTAAACACTTCTGTCCATGAGAACTTTAGGCTGCTGGCAGAGGTGGCCCTGGGTAAGCGATCTTTCTGGAGATGCTCCCATCTGTCTGCCCTACTGTCTCCCTCTCCTCCTGCATCTTTTCTGGCAAGAGGAACTCTTCATCCAGGTCTGCGGAGAGCCACCGGAGGGGCAGGAGGCCACTGGATGGAGGAAAAGAGGGGACATGGGAGGAGGGCCCTTGGAGGAACGCCCAAGCCAACTGCCCTTTCTTTATAATGTCATCGGGAACCAGTGCTGTGCAATTAGAAGACCCAACAACTAGAAACAAATTAGGACTCAGTGGAGCAGGTAGTCTTCATTACAGCGCCATCTTGTTGGGAAAAAAAATCCTCGGTGGAATGACCTTCACACAACTGCATACAGTTATTTACAACATTCCAGAGTTCATCAGGCTCCCAGATAGGACGTGTGTATTTAGAGCCCATTATCGTGCCCTGAAAGCTACTCTTTTTATTTCTTTTTATTTTCTGAATGCGTTGAGTTCTGTTTGTGTTAATCTGTTTCTTTTGGGCGACGTTTGCTTTAGTTTCATGCTCTTTATTATCTCCCATTGATTATCTTGTTCGTTACTTATTGTGCATTCATCTCTTCTCTCCTGAGTAACTTCAAGACAAAGTTACTACAGCCCAAGTCAGCGGTTATGATGAGTGAGGCACATGAAGGCGTTCCCCAGTTCAAGTTAAACCATTGTCCTGGGGAGTCTGACAGACAAGGTCACTGCAGCCAGCAGCACTGTGGTGAGGGCAGGTGCCAGATCTCCTTCTCCCACCAGACAGAGAGAAGGATGAGGAAGATGTCAGGTGAGGAGGGAGCACACAGGAGAAGAAAGACCCTTGATGCCCATTGATGCTTCTCTGCTAGGCAGTTGAACGTTAGGGAGCAGGATGCCCCCCAGGGCATGTCCTTTGGGGTTAACACCCTTGGAAGGAGGAGAAAGCAGCTGTCCTGGGTTTCCTGGAGGTCCTAAACAGTCCCAGCGATGCACAGGGTGCTTGGAGTTGAACTTGCTCCCCTTTGGGACTTGTATACGCTCATGTGCATTAGTGTGGTCGGCCCCTGGAGGGTATGACCCCGGGAGAGGTGGCTGTCTGGAGGTCAGCATTCCCTGAAAGGGGCTGACACTGAACACTACCCACCGACCAGTCCATCCACGAAGGGGCATCTCCGTGGCATGTCTCCAATATCCACCAGGAGTGGCTGCACTGTTAGGAGTCCCCTGGTCTGGCTGCAGTACCGGCCGTAACGACCTGCTTGAGCCGCATGACCACACTGGGCTAATTCACTCATTTCTCATCTGCCCTGTTGGGAAGAGCTCTTCAAAGTCTATAAAGCACTTCCACACTCTCATTTTCCCCCTGGTGAAATTCACAGCAAAGGGACTGACAGTCGATTAAAAGATTTAGCAACTGAGTTTGTGGTGTTTAAGTGATTTGTCAGATTACGTGACCATATTAATGGGGGTAAGATTCAGAGTCCAAGGCCAGACTCCTTTAGATTATGCCAAGAAGGGAGTGCTTGAAACCCCCATATGCCACTAAACAGGTGGGCTCATCAAAAGAGATCCTGTGAATAAGAACATTTTGGAAAAAATGATTCAGCAGTCCCTTAGGTAGAAATAGTCCCAACTTGCCATCATAATGGTGTAACTGTGAAGAATTGGCTCCAAAGCAAAGGTCGGTGTTGACAGTAGCTACGTACAGTCATGTCTGACACGGAGTCTGCTCTTCACTTGGCTGGTGGACCTCCAGTGTCCTGGGTCCTCTCCTTTCCTGCCACATCCCAGCACACGCCCTGTCCCGGGGCATCCCCCAGGGTCTCAGGCAGGTGCTGCCCCATCCCAGGAGTGCTCTCCAGTCCTCTTGTGCCCCAGCGTGTGCCCCACACTCTGTGTCCCAGCAGCCCGTAGACAGACTGTCAGGGCTCATCATCAGAGCTGGCCCCGCCTCGTTCTCAGTGCCTTGGCAGCAAGATCCCAAATGTCCAGGTACCCTGCCACCGTGTCTTACCTAGAGTTGTGTGTCTCAGCCTTGGTGGTGAAAGCCGCGACCCATCACCCTACCCATCTGGCGGCAGCTTTGTCTTGGCCGCTCCTGAACCCCAAATCTGCTCGGTGGTGAGCACTTCCCCATCCTTCCCAAGAGGCTTCGTGTGATTCCCTCCTTGGGGGAGGTTTTTTCAATGATGCCTTTCCCCTGCAAAGGTGTGGTCAGTGCCAACGGGAGGGAATTGCTTCCTTCCTCAAATGCAAGAGCTTGCTTTTTAAGAGGGAGGTGGGAAGTGAGGTAGAATCAGCTTTTATTTTATTGCAGAAAGAAAGTAAAAGTAAAAGTATCAGTAGACTATGCTTTCCCTTCAACTTTGGTGACGTTGAGATGATTTCGAAGGCCAGGTACAGGGCTCTCTGTCATCTTTGGCTTCCTTCCTTTTAGGGGGTCTCCACCTCCATACCTCCCACACTCAAGCTGGCAGAACACAAGGGTTCTGCCTTGTGGGTTCTGAGTGGGGAGATCTGTATCCCAGTCACATATCTTACTCTCCGTGTACTTCCGACAAATCTGTGAGCCTTGGTTTCCCGGCTCCCTGGTATGAGTAAAGGTCTGTACAAGACCTACCTGAGTGGTGGGAGAATTAAACACCATGGTGGGTTTGAAGACGCGTCCCACAATGTAAGCCGTTAACCAGTGTCCGTGTGAAGAGGCAGGTGAAATGTGCAGTGTGGGACTCTGAGAAGCAGAGATGTGGAGACCTGTACCCAGGGGGCCAGAAAGTCCACCGACGAGATGGTGGCAGAGTGCAGAGGGGACACATGTTCAGTGACATCAGCTATAGAACAACCCGAAGAGCGCTTGCTGTGGCCACCGCTAGGGCACACGTCTGAATACACAGATAGGAGAGTAAGAGCAAACACCGTCAGGCATGGAGTCTATCGTGTGCTCCCCTGGGTTATGTTCGTTATGTCTGCACCTTCCTCATACAGCCTTCCCACCCCTGCATTCGACATCAGCATGCCCACTGCGTTAGGGCTCTGCAGAGAATCAGAGCTAATGGGCTCCATATGATTTTTTATAAGAAATTGGCTTTCCCAGTTATGGGAGCTGAGAAGTCCCAAGACCTGTAGGGCAAGTGGGTGAGGTGGAGACCCATAAGGGCTGATGGTGTAGTTACGATCCACAGGCTGGCAGGCTCAAGACCCAGGGAGAGCTGATGTTTCAGTTTAAATCTTAAGGCAGGAAAAGCAGCAGCAACAACAACAGCAGTGGAACTAATATCCCAATGTGAAGACAGACAGGCAGGGAGAGTTTTTTGCTACTCAGGAGAATGTCAGCATTTTTTTTTTTTTTTTTCTATTCAGGCCATCTACTGATTAGATATGTCCCACCCAGATTAGGGAGAGCAGTTTGCTTTACTTAGTTGATCTAAATATTAATCACATTCACAAAGCACTGTCACAGAAATACCCAGGATACTGTTTGACCAAATATCTGGGCACTCTGTACCCACTCAAGTTGACACATGAAATTAACCACCACCTCACTTTACAGAGAAATTAACAGATTCTGAGTTAAGTGACTTACCCAGACCGCATAGCTACCAAGTTGTTAGCAAAGATTTGAACCCGGATCTGCATACTTTGAGTTACTCTAGGTCGTCTCATTTGTGTGCATGATAACTGTTCAAATTAAATATTATATTGTTAATATAAATATTGAATTATTTAAAAGTACTTTTTAAGGTTTTTAGAGACAGAGACAGAGCGTGAGTGGGGGTGGGGCAGAGAGAGAGGGAGACACAGAATCTGAAGCAGGCTCCAGGCTCTGAGCTGTCAGCACAGAGCCTGACGCGGGGCCGGAACTCACAAACTGCGAGACCATGACCTGAGCCGAAGTCAGACACTCAACTGACTAAGCCACCCGGGTGCCCCTTAAATTATTATTTTAATGTAAATAACAATAATATATTTTTACTACTTAAAAGACTTTTAAATCAAAATATTATTTCCTAGTTTCTTCTCAAGAAATGCCTCCTTAGTTTTTGTTTTCTAGAAATGACCAGAAAAGTGAAACTTCTTAAAATGTTTGATGCAGGACCTGAAATCACTAAGGAACATAAATTTAAGCTTGAGAACTATGACCCTAGAAACCAATGTCATGTATGCCTTTCTTTTTTTTTTTTTTAATGCTGTCTATAGATAACAAGCATCTAGGAGGATTTTCATTCTTTTATTTAACATCTTATCCCCAGCACTGATTTCCCATATGAGCTCCCCATGAATGTATGTATGTTAAACTTTGTACTATTAAATAACTACATGACTAAATAAATGAGCAGCTTACACTTTATCTAAAAATTATCATGAACGCAGCAAACTTACAAAGCTCTAGAGTCACTGCACCTTCGTTGAGAGAGCAGTCTGCCTGAGTACTTGTTGAAATGGTGGTGATTTCTAGATGGGCCATCGCTAGTGTCGAAGGTAAACCACAGCCCACATCATTTTTACCTTCTGACACTGCTGTTATAAGATGCGATCTTGCTGCCTGATAGCCTTGCATTAATTATTCACAAGCTCTTGTACTTCATTTGCTTTGCATCATTAACCTCTTAGAACGTGTCCCACTTTCCAGAGGTTGGTAAGCACGCAGTCATGACTCAAAATGCTGTGAGGATAAAGCACTATTTTGTGATATCCCTTTGACTCTTACCTACTAATGGCTTTATTTTGTTTCTTGCAGTGAAAAAGGCAATTGAATTGAAGTCAAGAGGAGTCAAGATGATGCCCAGCAAGGACAGTAGTCATAAAAACTCCGTCTGTAAGTCCTCTTTTCTTTCTATATGAGGATTGATATGTCAATTAGAGGGGACACAGAGGAGAGAACGGATGCATCCTGGAGAAGTAATCCCATAAACTGCTTTTCTCGCTTCCCCTCTTTCTACTTTTCTACCTGCGAAAGTATTTGCTGGAAGAAAGAACGTGCACTGGCTTCACATTGTTGGGGAAGAATGTCCTGTTGACATTGTCCTAAATGAATCCGCTAAGTGTGTTTCCAATCTGTCTTGACTCTCTGCTCTCAATGGTCAGTGTGAGGCTGGACCTTCCGATTTCTCTCATGAATAAGTGTTCCACGGCTAGCATTTGATCCCTGCTTCCCTCCATTCTTGTATGGATCTTTAGGATATGGAAGTCTGGTCTTAGCATTTTCCTGTTACGATGTTCTCGGTCATCTGTCACCTGAAGAATAAAATAGCTTTAGGGCAAATCCTGAGTCCTTCCAAAGAGGAAATACGTACATGTATATACATGTACATAAAGACCACATGTATACAGGGTCCATTTGCATATGCCTGGCATGTGGTAGTACTCCGTCACTAGCTGTTGGATGACGGGAGGTGTCTCCTACCACCTACTTTTCTAGTGTCTTCTCCTGGAAGTCTCTCGTTATTACTCAGCTGAAGGGACCACCTTGCCATGCCTTGGATGATGTCACAGTGCCTCTCTGCCAGAAGTAACCTGTCTCCCTTCACTGAACGCAGAAACTCATGTCATGCTTAGAGACTCCCCTCCCCCTCTGAAGGCTCTCCTGACTCCCAGGCATGGTTAGCTGGTCCCTCGTTTGGTTCTTACCTCTGTGACATCATTTATTTTGTCAGTTTCACGGTGCGTTTACCTGTCCTACGAAATACAGCTCCGCAGGCCCCATGGTGATACCCAGGCGGGTTCATTTCCGGTGTGGTCCTTGCTCAGGCACCGTTGTTCCTTTTAGGACTTTCAAGCTGTCGAGTTGCCTTTTCTGTTCATTCCTGGTGACTTCTTCTGGTGTCCCTACTTACCTGCTCTCTTTGTGCTCCTTGTCCAGTGTTTGGGATCTACGCATTTTATCCATTTTCCCACTGCCTAGCATTTAGTAGAGATGGAAATCTTGGCATGGACATCTTGAGCTCCCTCAGCCCAACCAGCTCTGATTTTATCTGCGTGATGTATTGGGCTTCTGCATGAAGTTTTCTCCGTGACAGATACTCTACAACAGCTAATAAATAAGCAAAAATAGCAATATAAATCTTTTAAAAATCACTTTGTAGAATGACCTACTTCTGCTTCTCCGTATCCCATTTGTATGGTATCTTACTCATTGCCTGTGGAACAGGGTCCATTGACTATACGATGACCCTGTTCCCTGGCCACTGAAGAGGACAGAGAAGTAGACTCAGACTCCTAGGATGTAAGTGTCAGATACAGGGCATGTCTTAGATCTCTCAGGCTACCATAACAAAGTACCCTAGATTGGGTGGTTTCAATTTATGTCACATGGTTCTAGAGGCTGGAAAGTCTGAGATCAAGGCAGACGGAAGTTCTGATGAGGATTGCTTCCTGGTTTATAGATAGATAGCTGTCGTCTCTTGTATCCTTATATGGTGGAGGGAGAAATCATCTCTGCTGTCCCTTATCAAGGCACTTATCCCATCATGAAGGTTCATGCTCATGACCTCCTTACCTTCCAAAGGCCCACATCCAGATACCATCACACTGGATGTTAGGATTTCAATAAAACAATTTTGAGAGGATGCAAAGATTCAGTCTATCAAAGGACGTATTACTAGAACTCTGACTAACCCAGGTCCTTAGGTACCACACACACACAAAGTCAATCTGTAAATACTTTCATTACACTTTCTGTTTGATAATCATGGAAAGTGCCATTCAAATCAGATTGGACTAAAAAAAAAAAAATGGAATCCAGATGAAGGCAGAAAACAACTAAGTGACAGAGAAAGAAAGGGAGGGTTTTATTAATAAAGTTTTGATAGTTTTTATTGCTAGCTTTTAATTCTGGATGTTCAGTAGGGTAGGGGATGTGGTATTTATAATAGTTTTGTACTTTATATTTTATAGTTGAACACCTTACAGAGATGACCCACAGTAATGTAGAACCACACAGCTGCTGAACCTTCCCATTACATCAGTATTAGGTCAACACCGAACTTCTCTGCTAGAGCAAAATGTAGACGGAAGCTATCTTTGTAAAGAGAATGTCTCTCTGTCCTTATCTGAACATGAAGTGACAAAGGCCTGATTACTCACTTGGTGTGAAAAAGGATGCTGTCCTTTCTCCAAACAGCATTAAACTTGGTTTTGGTTGTGAGACATGAGAGTTAATTATTAGAAAAAAATGAGGATCGAAGAAACTGAGGGCCTTCTGAGGTCCACGATATAATAAATAATAAAATGTTATTTACACAGAAGTCGTGGCCAGAAAACTAAGTGACGTGTTTCCTAGAGAAACGGACTTGGACTTTGAAGACAAGGATTCCGTGGTTGTAAAAGTATGAAGGGTAGCCAAGGTCAGGTTTCATCATTTATGAAATTAAAACAATAACATTTTAATTAATGCTTAATTTAACGTTTTAATTTGGTCAAGTGGGTAAAGCAAGGTGTTTATAGATTGCCCTCTCCAGTATACGTCGTGTGATGGGCATTCAGCAAACCACACCATGAGGAACTGGATTTTCTCTGATGAAAACAACCCTTTAGTAAGTAATCCCGCCTCACATTATTCTCCTCCAGAGGGGGCATCTGCTTCCTGTTGGGACCCTGTTTAGGTTGCTAGAAACTGCTCAAGATTCTGATCATCCACGCAGAGCAAACTACCCAAAGATTCAGGTGTTTGAAGAGAAACAAACAGAGAAAACACTAGACAAGGCAAGGAACCATGCCTTCTGGCAATGTCGATCCAAGCCTCCCCAAGTGCCAGGAAGAGAGACAGATACCTGGCTGGGGAAACGGAAAGATTTCACAGACTCCCTCAAGGAATTCACGGTTTAATGATGAAAGGCTCATATAATTATAGCAGTTAGGTCACTAGAGTGCTGGAACGAGGTGACGTGTACTATGTTTTATAGCAAGACTAAGCAAGGATTTTATCACTTGTATGTTAGGGAAGTTTGTACAGATCTATAGTGGCTGGTGCATAGGTTAAAAGCAGATTCCCGTTTCATCGGATAGACAACCAGTGCCTGTATTGAGGTCCGTTTTCCAGCCACTTAGCACACATCCCTCGGGCCAGCGTGCATTTCCTTCCTAGACCTGCCTTGGTTCTCCATTTGGTCCGAGACCAGCTCCATGAGAGCGGAGTGCTCCCAGCCGGCAAAGCCCTTCCCAGCTGGTGCCTTTACGGGATCACACGCTGCACTTCCTCCTCCCCAATAGCCCAGCTAACAAGCACTTAGCACGTATATACTGACTAAATAAATGAAAAAGGGGAGAACACAGGAGAGGCTCATTTTCCCCCATTGTGGAACAAAAGCCCTACATATCCTCTCTTCTCCATGGGATTGATGAATCTTCTGTGAATTTTGCTCTGGAATCTATATTGGTCGGTTTCTTTATCCAGCCCTGGTTTCATGTTACCAATTAACCCCTTAGTCATTCACATCTGTCCTTCACATGCACAAATGTGATCACATGGTACAGGGGGTGGGCACAAGCGGGGATATTTTAGCCCTTCTACATAATGAGGGCAATTAATTTCCTCCATTACCTTGTAGAGTGGAATGATGTACAAGTTTGTTTTTTCATCAGGTTCATTCATTATTGATTAATAAGTGTTTTCAAAAAATCTCAGAGGTAATTAAGGTATTCATTCTGCCTATTGCTCTACATTTCTAATCATTTTAAGCTTTGGCAAGATTGCAACATAAATGGGGAGCATCACTCAGCAGAAGGGCATCTGGAGGAAGCTCAGTGACTGTTCCACCCCGAGCTTCCCTGCTGTTTCCCAGTGACATGGGGTTCGCCTTTCTTCTGAGAACAGACCCTCTCAACACCAAGTGGTAATTAAATTGTCACTGCCTATTTTAAAATGGCGGTAACGGTAGACACAGTATGTCTTCCTCTTCTGAATCTTGACAGTCGCCTACGTGGGATACAGTGTTAGCAGCCCCCCATGGGAGAACCAGGAGCCTGGACAATCCGTTAGTGCCCTTCTAACTCCAAAATATAAAAATCTGTAGGGAGGAGGGTAAATGAAAACCTTGGTTGTTATTTTTCAGCTAGAGATTGTTTTCCCCCTGTAAAGTTAAGGACAAATGACTTTACAAACTCCACATTGATTTGTTGTAACTCACTCAGATGTATTGATGGCCCATGCTGTGTACTGAGCACAGCGGTCACAACAGTGGATACCCAAGCAGGGTAGGACATTGATGCAGAATCATTATTTAATGTAAAATAGAAGAAAACACTACGGAAAAATTGAACAGTATAATGCATTACCTTATAAACCCTTGGGTAAAAATAACAACAGAACATTATAAAATAAATGACCCTAGAATTCTCCTACATTTGACTATAAACCATTTATTTCATTGCCTTTGTGTCTATGGATAATCAATATTTTTTTTTCTACCTGGAAAAATAAAAATACCTGAAGCAAAATAGTCCAAGTTGCCAAATAGACAGTCCTGTTAATGAAAAGCAATTGATCAGGTATCGTCTTCTATAATGATACTCAGTAGTTCCATTTTTTCCCTCTGGCTTTTCTTTTGAATCAGAAATAATTATTTGGAAAGGCAGATTTTAACATTTTTGTAGCTCTGTTTTTAGAATGACACAGCAACATGATGCCTTAACCACTCTATACAGCTAGAGATACAATCACAACTATGTAACGTCTGATTTACCTTTTTAACACACATGACTGGTTAATCCATTTCCTAAAATATACCCTTATAAAAGACTTTCCATCTGTCTGGGGTCATACTGCGTTTATCCCCGTATCACTATAATTGCTGCGCTCATAGTGTTCATTTTCTTAAG